GACGACTACCTCGTCTCGTCGCTGTCGGCCAAAGAGCTCGAGACGCTCCAGATGCTGCAGCTCGACGCGTCAAGCCTCGTGGTGTCGGACGCCAAGCCGATCGCATCTGGCGCGTTTGGCGACGTGTGGCGCGCCACGTACCTCGCCACCAACGCCACCGTGGTCATCAAGCGCAACAAAGACCGCCGACCCGAAGCCATCCACGCCTTCATCCAAGAGATTCTGCTTCTCGCCAAGTACAACGTCTTTTGTCTTCTTATATCTTACACGACTTGACATGATAGGCTCCAGAGCCCATACATTGTGACGCTTGTCGGCGTGACGTGGCGCCGGCTCCTCGACATCGAAGCGGTACTGGAGCACATGCAAGCGGGCGACCTCCGGAGCTACCTCGCGATTTCCAGTCGAGACGCGATCCCGTGGGCGGAGAAGGCGCTGCTGCTGCAGAGCATCGTGTACGGCCTCGTGTTTCTCCATACGTTCAGCCCTGTCGTGATCCACCGCGACCTCAAGTCCCGCAACGTCTTGTTGGACGAGACATGCGGCGCCAAGTTGACCGATTTTGGCGTCTCGCGCGAGCTCTGCGACGCGCGCACGCTGACTTCGGGTATCGGCACGTTCCAGTGGATGGCGCCCGAAGTCATCAACGGCTCGTCGTACAGTGAGGCCGCCGACATTTACTCGTTTGGTGCGTTGCTCTTTGTTCGAGATTTCATGACTCAGCGGGATGGGGGTAGGAGTGATTGTGTCCGAGATGAGTACACACGAGGTGCCGTACACCCAGCGATACTTTGCGTCGCAGAGTGCGCAGAGTCTCTTGACCAAAATCGCGAGCGGCGACCTGCGACCGGACTTTGATGCGACGTCGCCGCGCTGGGTCCACGAAGTCGGTGTCCGCTGCTTGGCGTGGGACCCGAGTCTGCGCCCGACCACATTGGAGCTCACAGTGTTGGTGCGTCAGTTTGTCGATAGCTTGATCGACTAATACGTTTGAGAGAAATTTGAATACTTTGTTATGTCCATCCATACCTCAAAAGATAGACGAAAGGAACAGGCAAGCAATATTTCGGGAGAATTGATGAAAATACAAGTAAATGAATTTCAACAGTGCACTACACTTACAGATGTGGCTTACGTGTAAAACTGCATCTTGACGCGCTGGAGGATCGCAGTGAGCGCCAAGGACGTCGGGCGGTCGTCCGGGTCAAGTGCCATGCACTGCATGCCGAGGTCGCGGACCCACACCGGCGTCTCGTACTGCTCAAAGGTCGGACGCAATTCGCCGGCCGTGACCTTGGACATGATGGCTTGCTGCGTGTACGCGCGGCCCGTCACTGCGTTCTTGACGTCCCCGTACGGCACAGCGTGGGTCGAGAATTCCGACAAAATGACACCTACGGAAAATGTCGCACAACCCTACCCTCACTCAAAACTCATACCGAACGAGTAAATGTCGGCGGCGATCGTATACTCGGTGCCCATGATGATCTCGGGCGCCATCCACTGGTACGTGCCAATGCCGTTGGTCATGCCAACGTCCGCCTCTTGGCGAGACGCGCCAAAGTCGGTCAACTTGGTGCCCTAATTTCCCATGTAAAATATCAATGTTTCAACACCAAAAATGAAAAAATACCTTTTTCGAGTCGAGGAGGACGTTGCGGCTCTTGAGGTCGCGGTGGATGATGGGCGGCTCAAACGTGTGCAAATACACAAGACCTCGGACGATGCTCATGACGGACGTAAACTTTTCCTTCCAGCTGTACGTCGCGGGCGGCCGGCTCATGAGGTAGTTGCGCAGATCGCCGAGGTCCATGTACTCGACGACGACCTCCATTTCGATTGGGCGGCGCCAGCTCACACCGATAAACTTGACGACAAACTCGCTTTCCATCCTAGAGTGTGGACACCTTGTCATTAGCACCCAGTTGTATTCAGGACGACGTACATGGCCATGAGCTTGATCTCGTCGATGAATTTCTTGACGCTCTCGATGCGGCGGTCCTTGATGCGCTTGACCGCGACCTTTTCATCGCAGTAGGTGGCGAGCCACACTTCGCCAAACGCGCCGGACGCCAATGGCTTCTTGGCCGTGACCTTCAAGTCGGCAATGTCGAGCTTGTGGATGCGGAGGTCTTCGACGTTGAGGCCCATGTCGCTGTAGTCGCCGGCCGAGCCTTGCGTGCCGTTGGCCGTGCCGTTTGTAAACTCGTTTTGGTAGTAGCCGGTCGCGTCGTACGCTGCCTTTTTGGTCTTCCGCACGATGAACGCCGCAATGAGCGCAACGAGCACGACACCGCCGACCGCGAGGCCGACAATCAAACCCGTGTCTAGCGTTACTGTGAGTGCTGAAGAGAACACAAGGTAATAGCGTACGGTTGGTGGCTTCGGGGACGGGCGCCGGTGCAAGTGTGTCTAAGATGCACAGGTTCATAGGTGGAGATGGAGCTGTGGACGTACTGGGCGTGACGCAGACGTTGACCTTGACCGTGGGGTCGCTGGGCCAGAGCTGCACTGGCTTGCCGCTACTCGCAGTGCACGCTGCCACGTCGACGGCCGTGTCCTTGTTGAAGCGATAGCAAGTCGACTTGAGCGGGTTGTCGTCTTCGTCGCAAGCCGGCAGGACGTTGAGCGCGTCGAACGTGGCTTGGTTGATGGTAAAGGTGGTCACGTTGCAGTCCATGCAGCCGCTATGTACAGCATAAGAGTGTCGACGCATGGAAGGACACAATTGTACAAGAAACGAATCTTGTCCGACAGTCGAATGTTGGCAATTGTCTTGATTGGATTGTAGCTCAGTTGGCTACGCAGCCCAGTTCATTCCAGTGCAACAGAAACAGTAATTCTGGTCGTACAGGTAGTAGAGGTTGGTCCAGTCTTTGTCGACGACCTTCTCGTACTGGTTATGGCGAATGTTCCTACATAAATTAGTAAAAGTTTACGTCACCGACGACAAGTTGTACACACAGGAACGTGAGATTGGGCGGAAGGTAGTTGAAGTCGTTGAGCGTGTTGTTCTGTATCGCGCTAACCAATGCCATGAGATCGCAACACCTTCGACGAGCGCTTCGTACAGGGACACGAGACCGTCCGGAAGGCCTTTTGGGATCGTCTGGAGCCGGTTGCCGCGCAGTGTTCTGGACAATAATGACACTTTGTACGAGGAATATCAGCACAACATACAGGTTCTTGAGCGCCACGGGCCAGTGAAACGTAGCGGGGAAGACATCCAGGAACGAGTCGAGCACGTCACTAGTCAGTGGCATATTGTCTTCTGGCCAAGAGAACGAGCGGTGGCACTCACATGCGGCGCATCGAGTCTGGAAAGGGTGTCTTGATCTGGTTAAAGTCAATTGTGGTAATGTTCTCGATCGTCCTACTCAGCCACAAGCGATCAACGTTATATCAAAGCATCCGAGACGTACAAGGTCGTGAGGGTCTTGGGGAAGGCCATGCCCTTCATGACGAGGAGCGACTTGTTTCCGTACTTCCTACACCCGCACGCTTCAAACAGCCCAAGGAATGAGGAGTGAGATACATACATGTAGGCAACGAGGGACCGGGAGAGATCACCGATCGCGTTGAAGCGCGGCAGCTTGGTGCGGCCTTCCATCGTTATATTGACGAGGATCTCGCAGTTGGTCGAGTTGATGACGCAGTACGACGCATTGCCACCAGGTAAAATCGGACCGCAGCACTCGTCCGCCGTGTAGACCGAGAGGTTGGGGCCGTAGTACCCGTACTTGCACGCAGCGTCGTCGGCGGCGACGAGCGTCGCGCACAGCGAAGCGAGTAGGAGCAGTCGCGCCCACATTGCTCTTGTCAAATTGGTGCGAAGAGGATGTGAAGACGTGTCTGCAACACAGAGCCGAGGCGTGTCACACAACGTGCTGCTGCAGGCGACTCTGTGACGACAGCGCCGCGCCGCGCGTTTGGAGGGAGGTGCTGCATAGCGAACGGGGTGTGTAGCGCTGAGCGACAATAAGGTCGACGTTGGAAAGGAGTCGCCTGGATGGGCCCAACGTAGACACTGTCGTTCATAGAGCTTTGGGCGGTCGTGCAAGGTTGGCGCGCGCATCAACTCAGACGCCGGCAACTGCAGTGCGTGTCTAGCAACTTTGGCTTCTCGCCCGTACGTTTTGATACGAGTTCACCCAAACTGCATTTCGTTTCAGCTTGTGCGAACGTGGGTGGCATCGACGCTTGACGCGTCATGTCGGATCAACTTGTGACAATGTTATACTACTGTACTGCAGCTGAAGGCAGCAGTGCCCAGGCATTGAGAACCCAGGTCGGCCTTGAACGTAACAACGCTATGTCCCAGCCCCTTCGTCCTTCGCCCACAGGGCAGACGACACTGCAACAAGACTATCCAAGAGAGCCATGGGCTAATGTCGTCGATGTCCGTTGACGTCCTTGATCAAAGATGCACCATCTGTACGGGTACATGTACCACCGCGATGGGTTCTGCATCGCCAGCGGTTCTCGACAGGTTGTAGATGATGTATAGTTGTCATTGTCCGTGTGAATGCGAGTGCTTGACGCACTAGGGCAACGGGCAGCGTGCAGCATGTCCGCCAGCACGATACCTCACGCTATCATGGATCATGAACGCCTCGACGGTTTTACCGCGGCCAGGACATGTCCGGAGCATTTGATTGGTTGTTAACGGACACCGTCTGCGCTGCGTACCGCATTTGATTGGCTGTTGTCGTTTCGACCGCGCACAACGATTGTGGCGCGCGTCTACATGTACCTCCGGCCTTGCTGCGTGCTGCAAGGTACACTGTCTAGTCTAACGGTAAGATGTTTGTGCCATCGACCTCTACTATAGCCCAAGGCGTTGCTCAACGATCCACGACCGCGGCAACACCGTATGTCGAAAGCTATGTCGATGCGTTTGCCATCGGCAGCCGGTTTCGACGCAGACGCCACCCCAAGATTGTCGTGTGTCCACTTGGTTGTTGGTCGAACGGCTGTGTCGCTGGCTAGTGCAGTATGTCGGGTACATAGAGAGCCATTTCTTAAATTCGCCAAAACCATGCAAGAGCGTGCGTGGTTGTGGCTCGGTCTTGGCCTCGGCGTCGTCCGTGCGGCCTGCCCGTACGAAGGCATGTCTGGCACGATCCTCGCCGCCGACGCGACCTGCGGCAAGGAGTATAAAGTCTGTGGCGTCAACGCGAGCTGCGACATCATTACGCACTCGGTCAACTACACACTGCCGACGTACACGGGGTGGTCGGCCATCGGCAACATGGAGTCGTACCCGCTGGACGAGCTGTGCGTCTGAAAGTACTGGCTGAAATGGTCATCTGACTCGAATTGGTAGGACGGTCAAGGACTCGGAGGCCGTGACGATTCGCAAAATGTCGCTGCCAAAGACTCTCACCTACTTGTTTGCTATTGTCGATTTTACGAGCAACTGACGCCGACTTTTGTAGGACGTTTCACAACATTTCCAAAATCGACTTGGTCTCGTCGTCCGACACGCAATGGGACTCGCTTGATACACTGTACTCCTCGATGGAATGACTGAGCAAGGATGCCAATATGAAATGTAGGGAGTTTACGAGCTGCCCCGTGACGTTCCCCAACACAATCAAATGGCCTGCCCGCCTCGACACCATGTACGTTGCTGCCTTGTGTATGTGGTGTTGACGGTGTTATGAACCTAGCATTTTGAGGAACAACTCGATGAACAATATTCCCAACAACCTTCCAACTACGCTCACGCAGCTGTACACATTGTCTATACAACGAACAATAATCTCACGCGAATACTCTACGATCTAGGGGCATCCAGGGCAACCTTCTCGTCGATCTGGTCTACTTGCCAAAGTCCCTCGCACTCCTGTACGCTTTCATTCACCTTGTGAAAAGTTGTTGATTTGAAGTAGGAATTTGGATTCCAACTTTCTCAAGAGCATTACGGACTTTGACTGGACGGCGTTGACGTTCTTGTACGTTTGTACTGTACCTCGTCAACCCTCATGAGTCGCGACAGGCGCCTCTCTCAGAACGAGGTGCTCGAAGCCATCGCACGCGTCAAGCTCTCGACCAAGCTCACCTACTTGTTGGTCTTGTTGTCTTCTTTCCGCGCTCATATTGCGATGTAGTGACGTGGCCAACTGCACGCGACTGACCAACCTCACGATCGACACCAGTACGTACGATGCGCTGAGTGCGCTCAAGCCGTGGGGCGGCAACGACGACGACTACACGGGCTTTGTCGTTACGCAAGCCATCAACACGGATGCGTCGGCCTGCACAGCGATCGGCGGCAAGAGCCAAAGCCTCTGGAAGGCCACGGCCAAGTACCCCGTGACAGTCTGTGTCCTTGCGGGTACGCGCCATTTACAAGTACCTGACAAGAGGCTAATGATGGTTACTTGTATAGGCAACGCGACGGAATCACCGTCCAGTACCTCCAGCGGCTCTCGTACGTTGCGACACGTCCAAACACTGTTTCTTATTGCTGTGATATAGAGACAGGTCTTATTGTCGGCGTCTCTGTCGGGGTCGTTGCGCTGGTGGCGGTTGTTGCCTTTTGCGTCATCAAGCGCCGCAAGCAGCAGTCGACACCACCGGCCCATTTCGAGTACGGACGGCAGACCAACCCGGGCTTTGGCAACAATACGAACGGCACCGGCGGCCTCAAGTCTATTGGTACCAACGGCACGGGTGGACCAACCATTGGCACCGGTCCAACGAACGGCACCTCGGGCTCGCGTGGTGCGCTGCAGTACACGGACGCCGACGTCGTCTTGAACGTCAAGCCGCTCCTCCACCACCGACTCGAGCTCTCGGACCTCTACGTCACGTCCAACAAACCGCTGGCGTCCGGCGCATTCGGCGAAGTCTGGCTCGGCACATACGGCGGCAAGCAAGTCGCGATCAAGCGCATGAAGAACCAAGAGGCGCGCATGGTCCAAAAGTTCATTGATGAAATCGTGCTCATGTCCCAGTACGATCCCTATATTCTCTACTGTTGATCGAGTGACTGACGACAATGTGTACATGGTAGGATGGACAGCGACTACATTGTCAAGTTTGTCGGCGCCAGCTGGACCCGCCCGATCGAGATCGAGTGCGTCGTCGAGTTCATGGACCTCGGCGACCTTCGCAGTTACCTCGTGAACCAGTCGCCGGCGCAGTTCAGCTGGGACCAAAAGCTCAACTGCATCATCAGCATCGTCCGCGGCCTTGTCTACCTCCACACGTACAAGCCGCCGATCATCCACCGCGACATGAAGTCCCGCAACGTCCTGTTGGACTCGGTCAAGGGCACCAAGCTCACCGACTTTGGCGCGTCCCGCGTCGCCGAAGAAGACGATCTCATGACCAACGGCATTGGCACGTACCAGTGGATGGCGCCCGAAGTCATCTCGGGGACCAACTATGGCGCGCCGGCCGACGTTTACTCGTTTGGTATCATCTTGTCCGAGTTTGCGACGCACCAAGTACCGTACGCCGACAAGCGCCACCCAGAGACTGGCAAGGCCTTACCCCAGCACTACGTACTGAACCACGTTCGCGAAGGCAAGATGCACCCGACGTTCGACGGTCCGGGTGTGCCGTCGTGGGTCCAGGACATTGGTCTGCAGTGCTTGCAGCTGCACGAAGACAACCGTCCGACCGCACTCATGCTCTCGGCGCTGCTCAGTCGCTGTAAGGTGTAACTGGAGGCCTTTGTACCTCGTCGCCAGTAGGAGCTAATGATGCGTGAAAAATGGATTTGGAGGGTTGTGAGTTATCCATTGTCACTGCTTTTGGTTTGTCCTTTCTACGATTTTGAAACCGCTTGGCGCGGTTGCCTTCAGTTTCGCATTGGGCGCCTCAGATCGGACGACCCTCCGACGCGTCATGGCCGAGAAGTCCGAGGTCACGGGCGTTGCGCACGCGCCCTTCTCACTTGTGCAGTACGAGGACCCGGTCCTTCTCGAGCCCAACCCCCACGTCGACTTTACCTACGCGCTACCCACCGAGCAGACGCTCTCGGAGCCGCTGCTGTCGCCCGAGATCATGCACGCGATGCTGCCACCTCGGTACCCTTCCTCGACCTCATTTCCGTGTCCACTGTTGTCGTTTTGGGTAGCGAGTGGAAGGAGTTTAGTGGTACGTGGCGGCAGCACGTCTCGATGGTGCCAAGCACCCGTGCCGACGTTGTCGCCTTGCAGGTAGTACACATTGTCTCTGTTACAATGTCGCATGCGAAACTAGGAGCTACTCGATACGATGCTCGTGCAAGAGCAGACAAAGAAGCAAGGCATCTGCGCCAATCGAGAGCGGCTCCACGCCCAAGCGTTTGGTACAGTGTAGCTTCGTTCGCCTCATTGAGACGACGAGTAGACGAGGTCATTCGGCAAGTGACCCTGGCGTGTCCCGAGCGCGGTCTTTTCTTGCTGCGGATCCGAGATGAGATTCGCATGACGATCGAAGCGTACCAAGCGCTGTACAACACCAGGTACACTACGGAGTCGGTTGGCGCGATCGTCACACTGCACCTAGCTTGTCGTTTGGCATCCGCAAGACTGTCATGGCCGAAGAAGGCATGCAAGCGATTGACGACAAGGTGCGGACGCTCCAAGCGAGCAACGTCGAGCTCCGCGACGCCAAGAGCCACTGGATGCACCGCCTCAAAGTGCTGGAGCACCAGTATGCGACCGAGCGCGAGGCCCGCGCGACGCAGCAAGCGAACGTTGTCAGCCTGCTTCGGGACCAGATTCAGCATTTCCAAACGTTCGGCGAGCTCCGAGACGCTCAATAGATAAGATTGCAGCGACCAGGATATGAACCGAAACGACATTGTTAGGGTTTACGGTTTGCAGCGACTGAGCAGCGCCGAGAGCATGAGTGCGGTCGGACGGTCGTCTTCGTGCAGCTGCAAGCACTGCAGACCAATGTCCTGGACCCACGACGGCACACCCGGACCGTTGAACGTCGGGTGCATCTTGCCTTCGCGGACGTGGTTCAGTACGTAGTGCTGGGGTAAGGCCTTGCCCGTCTCTGGGTGGCGCTTGTCGGCGTACGGTACTTGGTGCGTCGCAAACTCGGACAAGATGATACCAAACGAGTAAATGTCGGCCGGCGCGCCATAGTTGGTCCCCGAGATGACTTCGGGCGCCATCCACTGGTACGTGCCAATGCCGTTGGTCATGAGATCGTCTTCTTCGGCGACGCGGGACGCGCCAAAGTCGGTGAGCTTGGTGCCCTTGACCGAGTCCAACAGGACGTTGCGGGACTTCATGTCGCGGTGGATGATCGGCGGCTTGTACGTGTGGAGGTAGACGAGACCGCGGACGATGCTGGTGATGCAGTTGAGCTTTTGGTCCCAGCTGAACTGCGCCGGCGACTGGTTCACGAGGTAACTGCGAAGGTCGCCGAGGTCCATGTACTCGACGACGCACTCGATCTCGATCGGGCGGGTCCAGCTGGCGCCGACAAACTTGACAATGTAGTCGCTGTCCATCCTAACATGTACAGATTGTCGTCAGTCACTCGATCGACAGTAGAGAATATAGGGATCGTACTGGGACATGAGCACGATTTCATCAATGAACTTTTGGACCATGCGCGCCTCTTGGTTCTTCATGCGCTTGATCGCGACTTGCTTGCCTCCGTACGTGCCGAGCCAGACTTCGCCGAATGCGCCGGACGCCAGCGGTTTGTTGGACGTGACGTAGAGGTCCGAGAGCTCGAGTCGGTGGTGGAGGAGCGGCTTGACGTTCAAGACGACGTCGGCGTCCGTGTACTGCAGCGCACCACGCGAGCCCGAGGTGCCGTTTGTTGGGCCGGTGCCAATGGTTTGTCCACCCGTGCCGTTGGTCCCGATGGACTTGTTGGTGTAAACTCCTGTGCCGTTCGTCCCCGCCGTGTTGTTGTCGTTGAAGAACGTCGGCGGCTCGTAGCGGTGGTAGATGCTCGGTTCGGGCGCTGCGTGCTTGCGGCGTCGGTAGATGAAGAAGCCGACTGCAGCAGCAATGACGACGACGCCGACGATGATACCGACAATGAGCCCCGTGTCTACAGGTATATAAGTCGTCTATCAGATTTGAATTGTTGTAGCATACTGGACGACGATGTGGTTGGTGGCGCTGTGGTCGATGCAGCTACAGATGAAATGACATGATTGCTACGGCGACGTCGGTGCGTACCCTTGACCGTCGTGACGCAGACCGACACGGGCAGCTTGGCCGTGTCCTTCCAGAGGCTCTGGATCGTACCACCGTTGCCCGTGCACGCGGTTGCATCGGTCGCAATCGCGTAGTTGGTCACAAAGCCCGTGAGCTCGGACGTGTTGCCGGCCCACGGCTTGAGCGCGTTGAGCGCACTGAACGTGCTCGCGTCGACGGTAAAATTCTGGAGCGACGAGCAGTTGCCCACATCACTAGTACATACCATTATAAGCATGGTGGCGTGTACATTAGTGTCGTGCAAATAGGTGAGCTTGGTTGAGAGCTGGACGTTCGCAATGGTTTCGAGTCGCGTGTTGTTAGACAAACGCCTACTATACAATGAGAAACACGCAACTTGAAGTTGGCAGCGAACAGAAAGTCCAAGCTGCGCCAGTCGTGATCGGTGATGCTCTTGATATAATTGGTGTCCAGATTCCTATCGTTTGCCATCAGCGATAGGACAATATATGTAAAATGTATACAAAAGCGTGAGGTTGGACTTGGGCAGGTACGTGAGGTCGACCAGCGTATTGCCTTGAATGGCCCTGCTATGGCATCAGCGACACGATACAGGACAAGATAGGACATACAGCGCCGTTAGTGTCGACGGTAGAAACTGCGGGATGTTGCTCAGTGCATTATTGCGCAGAATCCTACAGCAGCCTCAGTTGTCGCTCCTTGCCTCTCGGTCGTACACGAGGTCGAGCTTGGACGGCCACTTCATCGTGTTCGAGAAGCTCACGCCGGGGCACTCGAGGAATTGCCTGCGCCATCCCCATATAACTCTGCATGACAATGTTTTCCGTTCGACGTACAAGACGGAGAGCGAGTCCCACTTGGTATCGGTCGTCGACGTCAGATCGACCGACGTCACGTTCTTAAAGATGCTAGACCAACGGATAAGATCTCATAGAAACATACACCAGGACGTACAGCGTCTGGAGCTTGAGCGGCAGCGACATCTTGCGGATGGTCACGGACGCCGAGTTTTTGATGGTGCTAAATCAGCGTTAGTCAACGTGAAGCATCGATAGAGAAGATCCGTACAGGGTCTCGAGCGGGTACAGGTCCAGGTTGCCGACGGCCGACCAGCCCGTGTACGTTGGGATCGAAGCGTTGATCGAGTTGATTGTGACATCGCACGTCGAGTTGACGCCGCATATGGTGAGGTTCTTGCCGCACGTGGCGTCGGCCACGAGCACATTGCCCTTGATGCCCGCGTACGGGCAGTCGCCGACGACGACCGTCGCCAGCACCCCTGCCAGTAGCACGCGCAGCATGTTGAGCGAGGGTTTGGAAATGGCAACACGTGCACTGGCCATCGCGCTGTGATTGGTGCCCGATGAGATGGCTCCTCAACAACGTAGCCGAGGACGTCCCACGTATCAGGCATCGACGGCGGTTGGTCATGACATACGAGCTTTTAGTCAACCTCGACCGACAACAACGATTAGCGCGTAGTCTATTATAGTAGATGTGTAGGCTAGGGCCACCTCGGTGCCACGCTTGGTGCCGGACGCGAGCTCATCGTAACGTGTGAACTTGAGGACGACGCGACGGTTCCACAGTCCAGTGCACCGCCAAGCAACCCACCCAAGGATCGACGACGGGTATGAGTTGTGTACGTTGCAGATGCCAACTGCTCGTGGCGCCGACTGCGTCTTGATCGTCTGAAACGAGGATATGAGTTGTCGGAGCCGCAATTTCAAATCTGCTTCGTGCGTCGTTAATAGGGCGGCAAACTGAGAGCGGATGGCAGTACAGCAATGAGCCAGATATACGTGAGGTAGCTACGTGAGGTAATGCACTAATGACACCGAGCGGCTTCGATGCGCGCGTGACGTCCGACACAGTCCGACACCATGGTCCGACACGACGACGGCGAAAGCTCCCTTCTCGCCAGCTGTTTTCCAAGCGTTTGTCCGCTCAAATAGGACTTTGCCTAAATGCACGAGGAACAGAGGGCCTTGCCCAGGTGCCATTCTGGGTGCCATTGTGCCAGCTCGATCTACTATGAGCTATACACAGCCTACCCTACGAAGTTTGTCTAGAGGTCTCGACAAACTTCGTAGGGTAGGCTGTGTATAGATGAAAAGTCGTTCTATGAGCTAGAGGTCTATTGTGCCTGTTCCTTGGTACCCCGAAAATCTCGGAGCCCGAGCTTTGCTGCGGCGTGCGCGTGCTATCGGTAGTGCCGACACCGAATTCCGCAATACATGGCGTTGGCAACGATCACGATAGTACTCTTGGTATCCTCCTTAGGCCGTGAGTCAGAAAGGACGGCGATGGAGGCGTAGGACGCTTCGTCTCTCGTGCCCGGACGATTCTCGACCTGACCATGACGATACGACGAGGCTCGAGCTCAACCAGATGATAGTATTTTTAATCAAGCGTACATGCGGTCTCGAGTCGCCTTCTGCGCAAGGTGGCTCGCTGAGACTTATATCGCCTGTGTCAGGATTGGGTACTGTCATTAATCGCGATTGCTCTACCGATGTTTCTTCTCGATACGTGCCACTGCCTCTCTACTAACTTACATGCAGCGAGAGCTGTAGGGCAGTTGTGCCTGCGACGCGTCAAGCGACTTCGCAGGTCGAGTTCCAGGCACTCTTTTCGGAATGTTGGTCATGTAGAGTGCTGGTGTTTTTAAAAGCGGCATGTGCCATCTGTAATCCATCGCACAGCACACGCTCGCACAAGCTCGCGGTGCACTGGCCTTCAAAACGACGACACAAATAATCGTCATTGCCATCGCTAGTGAGAGGCATCGATACTTGTACCGCTGGTACTAGCGTGCGCTTCGCCACATTGCCCTTTGTCATTGACGCCGAAATTAAATCCACAATGCCGAAATTAAACCAGAGATTACGTGCCACCACAAGCCGACAAATCAATATCCTGACAGACGCCGCTGCAGCGCAGTTTGCCTTTGGCACCATCCCACCAACGACCGATCAGCGACAACCATGGAGCCGTCTTGCTCAGTGCGCTCGGTCTCGAACAAGGTCTTCCGCTGCGCGGCCGAAGTGTTGTACGTCCTTTCTATACCGGTCGATCGGGCTCACTCATGCCAAAGCTCAATGTAGCCTCAACTCGATGCGATCGCGTTTTGGCTACGTCAAGCAGCACGTCGACGCTGGCGGCTACCACTGGTCGTTCCTCGAGCGCGGGCCGCGATCCTCAGAGGCCACCGTCTCGACACCCGAGCACGTTGTGCTGTTTGTGCATGGCTTCTCCTCGGAGAAGGACTCGTGGCTCAGCGTCGCTTCTCGGACGCTGCCATCCTCGCGTGTCTTGATCCCCGACCTCCCGGGCCATGGTATGACGGCGCCCTTGTCACACGCCGCCGAGTACGGTGCGGCGGTCCAGGTCGAGCGACTGAAAGCGTTTGTGGACGCGACGATTCCCAAGGACGTGCCAATCCATCTTGTGGGCTGCTCGATGGGTGGTCTCATCTCGGGCCTGTACGCGGCCACGTACCCCGACCAGCTCCAGAGTCTCACGCTTATTTGTCCTGCAGGTACTACACAATGGATTGTCCACAGGTTGTTGGACGCCATTGTAGGCATCTCGATGCCCCGGCGCAGCCCCGTCTTGGCCAAGTACGAAGACGAGGGCGTCAACATCATGCGCGCCGGCACAGTTGACGAGTTCCAAGATCTCATGCAATACATTGCCTACCGCCCACCTGGCTACGTCATGGAGAAGCCCAAGGGCATGCGCAAGATCATGCTCGGACTCATGACCAGCTACCGCGTACGTCACGACATCGTTGTACCTGCGTGCTTACTGTCCCGTGGGATGCGTAGGCCGAGCGCATGCCCATTTTCGACAAGGTGCTAGAGGACATGATGGCGAATCAGCGCATTCTCGAAGACAACTTGCATAAAATCCGAGTGCCGACCGTCGTGCTCTGGGGCCAAGAAGATCAGATCTTGGATGTGTCGTGCATCGAGCGGCTCGACGGGAAGCTCGCCCATGCGCACGTCGTTGTCGTGCCGAAATGTGGACACATTGTCCAGCAGAGCTACCCGGAGCTTTGCGCCGCGTACATCAACCAGCTCATCGCCGAGACGTCGCCGTCGACAGCGATGGCGTTGGCATGATACCCTAGCTCATTTACTCGAAACAGAACTAAAAGGTTATAGATTTGTATAGATATATTTTATGTTCTAGAGCTTGCGCACGACACTTTTTGTCGTGTTGATGGCGACGCAAGACATCGTCTTCTGGTCGTTGTCTCGCCCGCGTTCGCCAACTCGACCATGGCGAAGACGACGTCATCGTGGCGCCTGCACTCTATGCAATCGAGCTCCGTCCAGAGCAGAGACGGTACATGGAACGGGCCGCTCTACTCATGGAGGAGCGATGGTAGACGCCGAACGATTCTTTTGTTCGGTGCTCTCTGTCAGCCGAGCATCGAGTGATCTCCTCGAATCTTGCTACAACGACGGCGTATTCCCGATACAGCCTGGCTCGGGTTGTTGTACGCTTAGTTGTTGTAGCAGAGGCCCCCATGTGCAACTTGGTACGCTGTTTGTATCGAGTCTAGAGAGCGCAGCTCAACACCTACCCCTCGTTTTCCTGCTGGCGAGAACATGCGAGCTTCTCGCTTGGCCAAGGATCAAGCATGCCCACGGCACGTTCAGAACAGTCGCTAGCCAACAACTAGGGTAGTTAGTACCTTGTTATGACGCAATTGTCGGACGTCGACACGACGACCGGCAGACTAAGATCTGCCGCGTCCGTGGTCGTGCGCAGTAACTTTTTTGCCGTTCGGGCGCCGTGTCTCGCTTCGCCCGCCCATGCGCGTCACCAGGTGCTGGAGTTGCCTTTGCCGCGGATTGGTTCGTGATGGGTGAAAATGGCGTCTGATTGGCTGCAACAAATCCTCGGCGTCGCATTGGCGGTTCCTGCACACCTGCTGATGGCCATCACCGAGGCCAGTTTGCACTTTCGATGCAGCGGCGCAACTCGGTGGCCGCGACTTGCGTGTACGCGGATGTCAAGACGACGCCCAACACGAGCATCCTTGCCGCTGACGCCAACTGCGCCGGCGCGCCAGCCAGCGTCTGCTACGTCAACACCAACTGCGTCCAGGCACCCGTCTCGGCCAACCTCACCAACGACCTGGTCGAGTTTCACCACATTGCTGCGCTCGGCGACCTCTCGCGCTTCAAGCCCTCGACACTGTGCGAGCTCCCGTTAACCTATGGGACGATGCTCACGCCTGCGTAGGTCGATCGTCGAGTCCGATGCGACCATCAATTTGGCCCATTTTGTGCCGCCGCCGGCCATGACCAGTCTGTACGCGTCCTCGGCATCTCACTAGTCGGTACTGATGCTCGTACATGGTTGTAGAATCATCACGTCGGTCGCGGGCATCGATCTCGCAAGCGCCAAGACGTCGCTACCCGCCAAAGTCGATTTTGTGTACGTTGCCAGCATCGAAGCGTCGTCCAATGGTGTTTGTAGCAACTTCCGCGACGCCCATCTCTCGGCGTTGCCTCCTTTGTGGACGTGGCCAGCTTCGCTTCTCTCCGTGTATGTCGCCTTCATCAAGCTGGTCCGGGCACTGATTTGCGGGGCTAGGATTCTGGACGAAAATGAAATCAGGACCTTCCCCACGCCGTTGCCCCCTAACCTCAAGCGGCTGTACGACTCACTTGACGGGCTATTTGTCACTTTCCATGATATTCCATTAGGTCGATCCAGTGGAACAATGTGACGACGATGCCAGCGCTGCCGCCGACCGTGGCGTTTGTGTACAAATACTTGCAGTGGGTTGCCTGCTGACAACTACCAATAGCAACATGTATGGCAACAATGTGAGCACGCTCTCCAACCTCGACCTCTCGAGCGTCACGTACCTGTACGGTGTGGTGTCGCTACGGACTTGCCCCTCATTGTACGAATGTAGCTCGCTGGGGCGTAACCCGCTTCGGACCATCTCGAACGTCTTATTCTCGACCAACATGACATTCTTGTACACAGCATCCAGAAGCGACAACATGTCTTATCGTGCTGGTGTAGCGACTGCGCAGGGTGTCCACTGACCAACGTGACGCTCAGCGAAGACGCGTACAACGCGCTCAACAAGCTGAAGGCGTGGGACCGCAACCCGAACGTTTATGACGGCTTTAACTTTGACACGGACGCCACGGTCGACGCTGCGGCGTGCACGCGCCAGGGTGGGTCGGTCAAGTACCTCTGGGCGGGTCGCACCAGCAACACGATTCAGGCCTGCGTTTTGCCTTCTTCTGGTAGCCTATACGCTTCTATCGCAATATCGAGCGCTCATGGCGTGGTAGTGCTGCCGACGACGACGCCAACAACAATTCCGACACCGTTGCCAACAGACGCCAGCGCTGTATCGGCTTCGTCCACCCGTACGTCAAGAGACAGCTTGGTGAAGGTCTTATCGACTCGCTAGCTGTCGGTGCGATCGTCGGTGGTGTCCTTGGCGGCGTTGCCGTGCTCGGCCTGCTCTTCTGTTGTCTCTTCTGGCGCAAGCGCCGATCGGACAAGTCCAAAACCAACTCCAACATGGCACCAACCAACGACACGTCGTATCAGCCCGTGGACGACGAGGACGTCGACTTGTCGACGCTGCGTCTGGTGCGCCTCGAGCTTCGCGAGCTCAGTGTCTCGAGTGCCCGTCCATTGGCAGCCGGCGCGTACGGTGAAGTGTGGGCCGGTGTCTACGGCGGTGAGGCCGTCGCGATCAAGCGGCTCAAAGACAAGTCCGCACCAAGCACGCAGCAATTTATTGACGAGATTCTTCTCCTCGCCAAGTACGTCCTACCTCTCTTGTGAAATGGCGCGTCGAATGCACTTGATATAGGATGGAGTCGCCCTATATCGTCAAGCTTGTGGGCGCGAGCTGGCGCCGGCTCTCGGACCTCGAGTGCGTAGTTGAGTTTATGGACCTCGGCGACCTTCGGAGCTACTTGACCAAGACGCCGGCCGAGATTTACCCATGGCACGAGAAGGTCGAGTGTCTTCTTAGCATCGCGCTCGGGCTTGTGTACTTGCACACGTTTGAGCCCCGCATCATCCATCGCGACCTCAAGTCCCGCAACGTCCTTTTGGACTCGAACAAGGTACACTATTTTCTCAATTTTATGGCAATCAGAAATGGCAATCTTATTGTTGGGTGAATTTAGGGCACCAAATTAACGGACTTTGGCTCGTCGCGCGAGATTGACGAGTCGACGCTGACCAACGGCGTCGGAACGTACCAGTGGATGGCGCCCGAGATCATCAACGGCGACCCGTACACGGAATTGATCGATCTCTACGCCTTTGGTACACATATTTGTTGTCTAGTTGGTGGTAACATTTCTTTTTAGGCGTCATTTTGACGGAAATGTCGACGCACCGCGTGCCCTACGGCAACTTGGTCAACCCGAATACGGGCCACGCCTACTCGCAGCAGTTCATTCTGACCAACGTAGCGTCTGGCAAGCTCACGCCCGCCTTGGACGAAGCAAGTCCAGAGTGGGTACATGAGATCGCATCGCGCTGTCTCTCGACGAGCCCCGCCGATCGACCGACCGCCATGCAGCTCGTGCAGCTGCTGCGGCAATGCTTGCCTCTTGTCTAGCCCTAAAACGCTAGGAAAAATGAGAAAACGTACAAACAAGAATGTTCAAAATAGGCTAAATGGACGCCACCAACGCATGCGTCGTGGGCTCGATCGTGACCGCAACCGCAAGCGACCCGTCGTCGTTGCGGTCGACAAAGTGCCAGTCGCCATAGTCGTTGACAAACAAGTCGGTCGCCGTTCCCGGAAACCACGTATAGTACATGTCCCGCGACGGGTACACGTACACGGTCTGCGCGTGGCGCGTCGGTGACGGCTGCACAGTTGCGTATGCGTCATCATACGTGGCTTCGCCTTGGCACTGGCGGCGCTTGAGGTCGAGGACGACCACCAAGAGCACGATCGCAAAGGCGCTGACAATGCCGCCGATCGCAAGCCCCGTGCCTGGACCCCAGGTTAGGCTACGACGCCATTCAATCGTATTTACACTACCTGCCGATAACGAGGGCAAGGACGCAGCCCCAGCTCCACTCGCGTCTAAAATACATGAGAACGAAGGAAGGGGCATGCGAAAAGCACCTTGGACGAGGCAGACGTGAAAGGAAAGCAAAGGGGCTTTTCCCGCCCATAGCGGCACGACCGTCCCCTGAAGCTTGGCACAGGCGGATGAATCCAATGTGATGTTGCGCGTCATGTAGAAACCCGTCAAGCACGACGTGTTGCCGTCCCATGCCGGCAGCGCATCAAGCGCACGAAACGAGGTTGGCGTCAGCGTGAATTGCTCCACGGGGCAGTCGTCACAGGCGCTATCACAAGTGCAAACTCAGAAAGTCGGTCGGTTGCACATCGTACAAGAAGCGGAGGGACGACGAGAATTTGACGCGAGCAATCGTGTCGATCGGGTTGCGGCCAAGTCGTCTACATCATGGCCGTTCAATCAGTTGTGTAGATTTTGCATGACAAGTCTGTACATTGTCACGAGATTCGACCAGTCAACGTCGGTGATAGTCGTCATGTTGTTGGCGTCGAGGTGCCTACCGCACACTCGCGTGAGATGATAGTCTACAGCGGCAGTCGAACAGGTGCTCAAGGCGTGGCATCACAGGCGGCAGTCGATGCAAATGATTGTCTTCCACAACCCTAAGCCGACAAATTGACGTTCTATCACACCACCGAGTTGCTCATACATTGTGGTGAGGGTCGATGGAAGATGCGGTGGCGCGTCCGAGAGATTATTTTTGCGCAGAGTCCTATGTACGACCGTATGACAAATGTGCCAAGAGAGAAACTGAGGTACAGGCTGGTAAGGTTGCAGGGCCAGGAAAACGTCGTCGCGTCCAGTGCGCCATTGACGATGGACCTACAAGAGGACCTATTGGTGTCGGTGGACCGATGCTAGCGGTCTACAGGTGCGTGACATTTGCGGACCAGGGCGACCGCGAGGTCGAGAGGTTGACGAGGCCAATGTCTTCAAACGCACTAGGGTTTTGGCTCAGAAGACATATGTTGCTTGCGATTGACGGACATGAATGTGAGGTAGCTCGGTAGAAATGCGGCGGCGAACGTCATGGACGCACTCGCACCCATGGTCCTAGGTAGACAATATGTTCATCAAACGATGACGAATCGGCATCATGTACAGGTGGCTATGCACATAGTTGGAGAGGTTGCCAAGGCTGCCAAAGCCCGTGAAGGTCGATAGGCCGTTGTCGAGGTCGCCGTCCAGCAGCACGCAGGCGCTGCTGACACCACAGACCTCGGTGCGCCCGCCGGCGCAGGTCGCATCGGCGGCCAAGAGGACGCTTGCATTGACGTCGCTGTACGGACACGGCGTGGCGAGAAGCGTCCGGCTCAAGAGGGCGAGACCGACGAGCGTTGCGTGCATTGCGCAGCGGAATTCGAACACTGCGATCTTCGTGCATCCCACTTTGCACCGTCTCGACCAATCATGGCAAGGCTCGAAAATTCATGAACCAATCATTGGCCCGAAAATTTCGAAGCCATCGAGTACCTTGAGTACCCTCGACCTGCAACCTTGGACGGGATGTCGCGCCAGCACCACAGCTTCAGGAAGGCAAAACAGTGGCTACTGCATCATGCCCGCATAGAAGCAGACCAATGCGAGACACGGAGCTTCCTTCTTCGTCTTGCTTGGTCGCATTGTTCAACGTGCACCGCTGAATCGCCCACCTCCCCCAAGAGGCACTTGAAGTTCCGCCTTCTTTCGTCGAGGGTCCAAATGCAGCGTCTCATTGCCCCTTTTTCAGATCTAGTGAATCGTTGTACAAGCGATGACCGTCGACAAGTATTCTAGATGGTGAGCTAACTGGACCCAACCCTCGAAAAAGAGTCGAACTTTGCAAATTTGACAAATTCGAGTCCGACAAATATCGACAATTGTACCACTATTGTACAATAACAAGAGCATGTAAACATTTAACGGACGCGATCCAAGTGGGCTACTAGCGCCGCGGCCGTCGGTCGTCGCGCAGGGTCCATCGCCAGACACTGCATCGCAAGCTCCAGGACCCACGCGGGCGTGTGCGACTTGTCAAAGAGCGGTCGAGCCTTCCCTTGCATCACCTGGTGCAGTAGCGCAACCGAGTTGCTGTGGGTCTTGGATTCATAGTACGGCACCTTGTGCGTCGACAGCTCCGAGAGAATCACCCCTACCCCCATATGCCGTGTCGCATAGCCCAAATCGAGATTCCAGTTGTACCAAACGCGTAGACGTCGGATGCGGGCGAGTGCGCCTGGCCGCGAAGCACCTCGGGCGCGGTCCACTCGAACGCCCCGCTGCTCGTCGCCGTCGACTCGCGAAGATCGCCAAAGTCGGTGAGCTTCGTGCCTTTCCTCGAGTCGAGCAGGACGTTGCGGGACTTGAGATCGCGGTGCATTACGGGCGTCTCGAGCGAGTGGAGGTAGTCGAGGCCGCGGGCAATACCTGCCATGGACGCTTGCTTGGCCCGCCACGTAAACGTCATGCGTGTGACAGCAGTGAGGTACGTGCGCAGGTCGCCCATGTCCATGTACTCGACGACGCACTCCATATCGATCGGGAGCTCCCAGCTCACGCCGATAAACTGAACGATATACGGCGAGTTCATCCTACATGATATGGTTGTCCATGGATCTCTTTACGAAAGCGTGGACGTACCGGGACATGAGTAGCATCTCGTCGACAAAGGTCTGGACGCGCTCGGGGGTTTTGTTTTTGAGGCGCTTGATCGCGACAGGTTCGCGGTCGTAGCGGCCAAACCAAATCTCGCCGTACGTGCCTGACGCCAGCGGCTTGGTGCTCGTGACGTGGAGGTCGGCGAGTTCGAGGCGGAACATGCGGATCGGCTTGACGTACAAGTTGCTGTCGTCGCTGAGGCTCGGGCCCCAGCTCGTCCGGATCGAGCGCGCGTTGGGCCCGAGCGAGTTATTGGACTCGACAGCGATCGTGCCTGGATACCGCCGCAGGTGCGGCGTCTCGAGGACCGGGTACGCATCGCACGACAGCGACCGCGTCTTGCTGCGCTGCGTCAGCGACTTGTCTCGGTGGGCGCACAGTGCCACGACGGCAACAACCGCGACAAGACCTACGACGGCACCGCCAATCACCGCGCTCGAGCTGTGGGCTATATGTGTTCTGGTTCATCCAAGCTGCGGTTGTAGCGGCCAACGTACCGCTCGTCGATGCAGTCGATGGCGCCGCGGCAGCGGCAGTCATCTCGATCGTAGCGTCTACCATCCGCCGCAAATCAGCATTTGACGACTGGATGCGAGCTGGAACCAGCAATCACGCAGATAGCCGCGGTGTACGGTGCAGTGGTCGCTGCTGGCAGCGTGCGCAGGACGCCACCGAGGTTGGCGCAGGCGTTGGCGTCCGTCGAGACGTTGGCGGACACGCACCAGCCCGAGGGTCCGTGGCGACAAGGCCCGAGCTGGCTCAACGCCACAAAGGTCGCCGACGACAGCGTTAAGTTGGTCAGCGCACAGTCCTCGCACGTGCTAGTTCATCATAGTCGGTCGACGAGCTTTAGACGATACAAGGCTCGAGTACAAAGTTGTCAGTAGCTGGGGCGACAGCGACACGTTGCAGAGCGTCTGTAGGGGATTGCTGTCGAGCTGCCTGCAGATCTAAATGAGTGCTTTATAGATGAGAGGAGCGCACAGATGCTCGAGCTGTCGCCAGTCGACGTGTGCGATGGCTGGGATTGCGTTGCGTGCGAGGTTTCTATTGGGACAGAGAGACGTGACGCGCCTTCCGTGCACTAACAAGGACCAACAGGCGCCGCGTCGAGGTCGGTACGGCGAGGCCTTGCACGTGGGCTAGGCCCGTGGCGAGTAATTGTCTATAATCGAAAGACAAATTGTACCGCGACAATCTAAAAACTGCAAAATGCACAAAAATACGTACACGTCGACAACAGTCGGTGGCAGGCACGGCCACGACGTCAAGTTGACGGTGTCGAGCTGCCTAGAGAGTGCGTGAGCTGGCGCGCTCTGAGGTTCGTTCGCACAAGGTCGTTAGCTGCGGCAGGGATACGGACGGCTGCACCGGCCAGAGGACGCTGTTGCACGCGATTATGGACCTACTCGCGGAGGATGAGGCCAGGGATATTCTAGTGGCAATTTACAGAGTGCGCAGGCGCGACGCCGCATGGAGCTCTCGCAAATCGAGTGCTGCGATGTCCTGGAACTGCCTAGTCCATGATGAGCTCGTGGCGGTTCAAGATCGTGAGCCGACAGGCGCTGCAGCGTCGATGGCAGCACGAGCGTAGAGACGTCGACGCTCGGCGCGTGGCCCAGAGACCTATCGGATGTATGAGTAAACGATTCTAACCCGTCCGTCGTCGCGCACAGGTGGTCATTGGTGAACGCGCTGAAGTTGCCAAGCGAGAGGCCGTCGCGCCAGTGCATCGCAGAGAGCTCGGTCGCCTCCAGGGCTAATGTCTGGCCAAGTGCATCGACAGCGCAGACGTGTCGAGTGGACGCAACCGTGGCACAGTCGGCGTCAGCCACGAGATGCCACGGCGTGGGCTGGCCAAGCGCCGTAGAGAGTGCCAGCAGCAGCAACGACAGTCGCATCGGCCTTGTCTGCACGGCGGACTTGTGAAAATGAAGGCAACCGCCACCGGGCCAATCAACGCCAGTAGCGCTGCACTGTACTCGGGGTCGTCACCCATACGCATCCCACTGCTCGTACAGTACGAGGTCCCGAGTCCGACGCGATCGCCGACATCGACAGCGTACAACCAGCGCGCTATCGCTGCTTGTGCATCGCCGGCGCGCACCGTGCCGAGCTGCGTGGCAGCAGCGTCTCTCAGTGGCCGTCGACACTGAAGCGAGCAACGACGCGGCGACCGCGGTTCGAACCCATGGCCTTATTTTTACCGCGCCTCTGGCTTTCTCGGTCGATCCAAGTGCAATGTGGCGCCGCGTCATCATCATACTCATACTTGGCAGCATTAGCGCCGTGCACTGCTCGCACCAGGGTCAAATGTGATCGTTGGCGCAGAAGGCGCTGGTCGTCGTGCCTTCTGCACCTTCATGCACATGCATGGTTGACTTGGGTGCGTGCGCATCGTCGATCTCGTCGGTGCGAATCGCAAGGTGTCTCTCCTGTCATGGCCACAGGTACTTGCTCGCAGAGCTCCCGTCACGTCAGTTGTCCGCGCTGAGCTTGGGATGGCCATTCGCGTTGGCGCCATTTTCATACCTAGTACCCAACACGACGTGCAGCGGCGGCGTCCTTTACACCTTGCAAGACGTGAAGAACACCGAAGGTATGGACTAGCAGAACAACCTGCGAGGCGGTGCTATCATGGGTATCTCCTGAATTATATCCCCTGGATACATTATATCCCCCGGATAGCACCGTCTCACAGATTTGACTGCTCCACAAGTTCTATACAAGGGTCAATAACCCATTTTTTAGCCCAAGAAAACGAGTGATATCTCGACGTGACTAGCCTTAGCCAGCATCAGCGACTGTACATTGTATAGACTATTACTTTTCCGACTGCGAGAGTTATAACGGGACTACGCCTCGGTGCCCTCGAATTGGTGCTTGTCCAAAAGGCCGGCGAGGGCGACAGCGGTCGGGCGCTTCTCGGGCTCGGTCGCCAAGCATCGTTGCGCAATCTCAATGAGCCAGATCGGCGACCGCGCCCAATCAAAGTCCGGCACGAGCTGGCCTTTCGTGACGAGCTGCATGACCTTGTCTTGCGTGAAGACGCGACCCGTCGACGGGTCCAGCGTCCGCGCATACGGCGCGTGGTGGGTCGAAAATTCGGTCAAGAGTACCCCTACCCTCGATGCATCACCCACCCCTATCCACAACACTGCGTACCGAACGAGTAAATGTCGACCGACGTGTTGTAGAGCGACCCGAGGATGAGCTCGGGGGCGGCCCATTGGTACGACCCGACGCCGTTGGTCATCGAGTGCTCGGACGTCTCGCGCGACGAGCCAAAGTCGTTGATCTTGGTGCCTTTGTCTGCGTCCAAGAGGACGTTCCGGGAGCGCAGATCGCGGTGGATGATCGGTGGGTCAAGCGTGTGGAGGTAGATGAGGCCGCGGACGACGCTGACGATCGCTTCCAGCTTGGCTGCCCACGTGTACGTCGTTGGCGAGTGCCGGGCCAAGTAGTCTTGGAGGTTGCCCCGGTTCATGTACTCGAGCACGCACTCCATGTCGCGGGGCTCGTGCCAGCTGACGCCGATAAACTGGACAATGTACGGGCTCTCCATCCTACAAAACTACAGTCAACACATACAAAGCGACAAAGGGGTCGGACTTGGCGCGCAGCAAGATCTCTTCGGCAAACATGGCCAGACTCTCGGACGACTTGTCGTATATGCGCTGGACGACGACGACGTCGGCGCCAAAGTGGCTCAGCCACACCTCGCCGTGCGTGTTGGAGGCCAATGGCTTGATCGGGTTGAGCTCGGACGCTTCGAGGCGGTGGTCGCAGAGCTCCGAGAGCTCCATCTCGTGGGTCTCGACAGCGTCGGGCGACGGAAGCCATGGCTTGGGCGATGGTAGCGCCTTGGAGGGCGACCACACGGGCGGGTTGGCGTCGAACACGTCCTTCGTTGTCGGTGGCTTCTTGTCCTTGGTGCGTCGCTGGTGGCGCCAAATGAGATAGGCCAGACACGCCCCGATGAGGGCGAGGGCGAGACTGCCCAGTGTCCACGTAAGAACTAGACACGGTCGAGTGAGTTGTGTTTCAGAAGATGAGGGAAACGTATTGCTACTCGTCGAGCTCGTAGACGACGATGCCGACAGAGGAGGAGCACTTGTCGCAGGAGCCACCTCTACAGTATACGCGTGGTTAGGGTCTTGCGAATGGAGACGTTGACGGACGCGGAAGGGCGCAGACGTGGACGCTGTAAACTTTGTATTGTACAGGCCAGAGCCGACGCAGCGAGCCGCCAATGTTAGCGCAGGCGGTCGTGTCGGCGTTGATATCCCCCGACACCGAATAGCCTGCATTGTTGCTCGCGTTGTAGGGCGACAAGAGGTCGAGGGCGTCGCAGCTGTCACTGCTGAGCGAGATGTTGGAGAGGCTTTGAATGTTCTGTATATCGCTACACACAAAGAGCATTCGTCGCCTGCCATTCGTGGTGGATCTGCGTACAAGGTGACGAGCTTGGGCGAGAGCTTGACGAATGCAAACGTCTCGAGCGGGTTGGCCTCGAAACTCCTAGTTTCAATATCATGCGTCATGTCGTATATCGCGATAGGTGTACACGTAGGTCATGTTGGTCCAGTCGTAGTTGACCACACTTGTCACGCGGTTTTCGCCCATTTCCCTGTAGGCAAATTCGAGTCGTAATCAGAGTTGTCGGAGCGCGTACAGCCAGGTCAAACTTGCTGGTAGACCATCCAGCGACGAGATTGAGTTGTTGTAGAGTGACCTAATCTCCGTATGAGAGATCAAAGAGGGTAGGGTCGCACGTACAGACTGCGTAGTGCCAATGGCAGGTTGGGTGGGATCTGGCGTAGACCCAATTCTATGAGCTTCCTAACCATATTGTCAAAATCGTATCCGATATTTCGCTGTGTGGTACAGATATTTTATGGAACTTGGCCACACGAACGTGCTCGGCAACGTAAGGGCACTCGCATTCACAATGGTGCTAGCATGGGAATGAGACCGTGTTGTAGTGGCAGCCAACTACAATGTCTCCAGCGACGACGGCAGTGCCTTGGCCAAGCGCACGACGTCGATCGATGTCAGGTTGTAGAATCGACTAAGGAAGAGAGCCATGGTACGCAAGAACGAGAAGATGAGAAGGCGCAAATGACGTACAGGTTCGTCAGCATGAACGGGAACACCGCGCTTTGGACGTTGATGTCGCCAGCCGCGTTGCTTATGGTGCTACGAGCAAGTACGTCAAGCTCTAAAACATTGGCAATAAGAAGCACAGGTTGGTCGCGTTGTAGGCCAGGAGGTTGCCGAGAGCGCTAATGCCCGAAAAGCTCGTGTTGGCCGCGGCGTAGCGCTCGACGATGCGGCATGAGCTGTCGAGGACGCAGGTGGCGGCATCGCAGTAGCTGTCGGCAGCAAGGATCGCGTTGCCGGCGCCGGCGTACGGGCACGTGGTCATGGTGCAAGCTGGTGCGTCGGGCTGGTGGAGCTCTTGCCAATGCGCTCTGGCCTCAGCAGGACTAGCAGCAATCTGATTGGCTCGTCATTCAAATGATCGTGGATGGGATTGGTTGCGCCGCTCGGGTTCACGAGCGTGTGCAAAACAGACGCACCAATCAGCGCCGAGGAAGTGAAACATCCACCAATCGCAGGCCACATCTGTTTTCGAAGGACCAATCACACGCAAGGTGCATCCTGCCCGTTGCCCCACTCCACCTGACAGAAGACAAGCGATGGCATCGACGCCGTGTCCGTACGCAGCCGCGGGTGCCAAGGTGCTCGTGGCCGATGATACCTGCCCAGAAGGCGGTGTGTGCGTCGTCAACAGCAAGTGCAAAGTCGTGGGCCGCTTCAACGACACTTTCGACACCTTTCGCAATCTTAGCGCCATCGGGCGATTCGACAAGTACACCAGGGCTGCTCTGTACGATGCTCCTATCGAGTACTAAGTACACGCCTCTGAAATGACATGTAGCACCGTGGGAGATTCGGCGAGCGTCGACCTGCGCCTCATGGAGCTCTCGCCGAGTGTCCGATGGCTGTACGCTGCCTTGACCGACTGCGTCGATAACGTTTGCGGCGTAGAGAGTTTCAAAACATTGGGGCGCTGGACCTTGCGCGCGCCAAGCCACTGCTTTCTGTGACCAAATTGTACACTTTTACACGGAAATAATCGTGTATCGAGTCGGGAGCACCGTAGGTGGATGGAGAACGTCTCGCTGGCGCCGTTGCCGCCAACGATTGCGTGGTCGCCCAATCTCTTTGATCTGTACGTACTTGGTTTATCCTTTGTCACGATTACGTTGATGTAGGTCCCTCTCCAACTGCTCCCTTTCCCACATTCCTCCGAACTTGCCCCCCGGCATGGGGTCTCTGTAGGACATCCTTGTCACATGATTTAGGTTCAATCTCTCTTGTAGCTGGCTCGGGAAGAATTCGATTACATCCCTCGCGAACCTGCCATCGAACCTGACGCTTCTGTACCTTCCACCACTGCGACTCTGTGACTTGTGGATGACGTCACCGATGTAGGGTGCTGGGGGGCAACAGCTTGACCGAGATCATCGACGTAGACTGAACGAGCATGTCCTTTCTGTGCGTCTTGGCTTGGACTCTGTTGTTGACAAAACGCTACGCTAGGGCTTTGCATCACAACCCGCTGCATACCTTTGCCTTTGTCAAGCTCTCGCGTGCGATCACATTTTTGTTCGTAATTTTCTCAATTTTATAGAGCAGCTACAACGTGTA